GAATTGGATCTCAAGAGGAGTTTATGAATAGTTCATTGTTAGCCTTTGTACCAGGATAGCATTTACGTGATATCTGAAGCAGTGTCTGTATCAAGTATGTAATATTAAGCATCATATTACATATTTCATCATTATTATATTTATTGGAATGACAGCTTGCTTAATAAATATGTGGGCAACATCAACTGACTAGAGTGGTTACTATTTCAAATGTTGGGAATGTGGCCAGAAACAAATTAATTGAAATTTGTTAGTACAATTGGCCCTTGAACAATACAAGGTTAGGGTGCCAACCCCTTGGGCAGTTGAAAATTCAAGTATAACTTTTGACTCCCCCAAAACTTTACTAATAGCTTTCTGGTGGTCACTACTGCTTTACCAATAGCATAAATGTTTGCTTAATACATATTTTGTGTGTTATATGTAGTATTCTTATGATAAAGTAAGTGAGAACAAAGAAGATATTATTAAGAAAATCATAAAGAAAAGAAAATATGTTTACTATTCCTTAAGTGGAAGTGAATCATCATAAAGTTCTTCATCCTTGTCTTCACATTGAGTTGGCTGAGGAGGAAGAGGAGAGATTGGTCTTGATATCTGAGGGTAGCTGAGATACTGTAAGTGGACCCTCAAAGTTCAAACTCACATTGTTCAAGGGTCAACAGTATATTCATTGCCTATTGCTGCCTATTGTTGCCATGACAAATTATCCCAAACTTAGTGGCTTGAAGCAACACAGATTTATTTTGTTAAAGTTCTATAGTTCACTAACCTGACACCAGTTGTACTAAAATCAAGATGTGAAGACAGGACTTCAATCCTTCTGAAGGCTCTAGGAGAGAATCTATTTCCTTGTCTTTTGCAGCGTCTAGAGACTTTCTACATTCCTTGGCTTCTGGCACCCTTTCTCCATCTTCAAAGCCTGCAACCAGTCATGTCTGACTCTACTTCTGTTTCACATCCTTTTCTCTGACTCTCTGATACTTTCTTCTGCCTCGGTATCCTACTTTTAAGGACCTTTATGATTACATTGGATCTACCCAGATAATTCAGAATACTCTTCCATATCATGGTCCTAGTTTAACAACACCTGCAAATTCCCTTTTGCTATATAAAGTAACATATCTACAGGTTCTGGGGATTAGGACTAGCATTGTTGGGCACCATTATTCTGCCTACCACAGGTAGATTCACTGCTCAATTACTTTCTGAAAAATTCATAGAAGCTGCTCTAGTGAACTTTCCCTTTAAAAAAAAAATCTGAGCATTATGACCACCCTGAGATATCAAGACCAACTTCTCCTCTTTCTCCTCAGCCTACTCTGTGTGAAGACAAGGATGAAGAACTTTATGATGGTCCACTTCCACTTAAGGAATGTCTGTTTGGGTTGGAAAAATTTGCTGACTAACGTGGAGAATGGACTAACTGCTGGTAAATGACAAGGAGAACTAAGGAAGGGGACATAGTTGGCTTCACTGATGAAGTGTGGACTAATGTTGATGTTTTCAAAAAGACACTCCCAAAACATGATTTTAGAATGAATTATGTTATGAGTATATGATGCTTCTCATTATGATAATTAAAGTTTTTATTAAGTGTCTCTGATACTGGTGGGGGGCAGGGGATGCTGTCTTAGACAAAACTCTACCATTCAGCTCATGAAGAGCTGCTGTGATAACAAAAGACATTCTCCTGATATGTTTAGCACTAACTAGGCATTTACAAAAATACTGTATTTTGTTTTAGAGTCTTTAACTTGAGAAAAACTTGAAAATCTTGAGGAAATTTTAAATATAATAGCTGATATTACTTGAAAATTGTATGTCCAGGCATAATTCCAAATGCTTTATAGTCATTATGTTATCTGTTCCTCACAATAGCCTTGCATAATAGGTAGTCGCATTCCTAAGACTCGGGACTCTCAACTTTAAGTGCTACACGAATGGGGGGCAGAATATGTTGGCTTATGTAGCCAAACTCAGAAGACCATGGGCTGAGCTAACTTCACAGAAAACTAGACTCTAGTGCTTAGAAAATATCAGGACTCTTTCCTCCTCTTCTCTACCTTTTTTTAGATTGATTTCATTCTTGCTAGAGAATCTGTGCCTAGAATGTAAATTCTATCAGTAGAGGTGGGTCTCCAGTGACAGATGCAGAGTAGGAGTTTAGTTGATAGGTGTTAAATGAGTGACTTCTTTTCTGCAGAAGAGAGCAGGGTGGGGAAGTATGGGGGCTGCTCAGCCTTATTCAACTTTTGGAGAATAGTGGAAATGGCTCCATTTTGGATCAATGGATCAAAATAGTTCCATTTTGATGATCCTGGTGAAGGAGTCTGGCTTTATCACATAATCTCTTTTACTAGGGGTTTTGATTAGCATCTGCCACAAGAAGCACATGGTTTGACGGGGCCCTTCAAACAAGAGGCACAGTTCTAAGCAAGCACTGCAAATGTCCACAATATTTCACTTTACAGATGTGGAAAAAGAGGGGTTCAGCAGAGGTCTGACAAGTTGACCAAGGTCACAGAAACATAAAGTCCAGATTCAATCCTGATGTTAATAGACTCTGGCTTGTGTTCTTTCTGCTTTGCCATCACATCATGTTGGTAAAGGAGCTCAGTGAAATGAAGGTCAGAATTGGAGTCGGGTAGCTTGGCAGGATGATGCTTTTTCTTCAGATAATTCTTCATCACATGATACTTCTTCAGTGTGATATTGGTGTTCACAGATGCTGAATTGTATGATTTTGGAATCTCTCAATGATTCCAGAGATGAAATAAGAGCTGGAAACAAATTGTTTTCTTTTCTGAGTTATTTGGAAAGACACAATTAAACATTTTAGTTTATTAAATTGTTTAAATAAAAGTTTTTCTTTGTTTTTTGCTGATGTGTTCTTTTTCACTATTTTTGAAAAATGTATATAAATAAAAGTTAGTAGCTGCCCTTAGGAACTACTGAATGAGAATTGCACATTTGCAAATATTTCTTGAGTAATTGTAATCATTTTTTACTTAGTGGTAGTTTATTAAAAAGTAATTTTTAATAAAGTCTTATTAAAAGCAAGACTTTATTAAAAAGTAATTTGTCATGAGCCAATTCAATCTTTGAAGAGAGGCATGTAAATGTTAATATTGCTACTACTTTTGGGTAATTATAAAAGGAGCAGTATATTTAGTACCTGATGTTGGAAAGATACTTTCAAATATTGCTAAAGAGTACTCACTCTCAGTTATATGTTCTAGCATGTATTTTGTAGGACAGAGCCTCAAAGTCTATTTTCTGTAGCATGTGAAAGAAATTCGTCCGTATTTGGTAATATACCAATAATGTATTAGCTAGAAAAGTTGGTTTCAGCTTCTGAAAAGTCAGTTTTCATGAGTCTACATGTTTTACACAAAGTAACTATTCCTTTCTTTCAATATGATAAAAAATGAAACATTGAAGGAAGTGAAAATAAGTATAGATACTAAAAAAAATGTCTCATCAGATAAAATTGTCAGTAAGTTTTGGACATGTTATTTAAAAACAACTAATTGCAGTTGACTTTTAAAAAATTAGTTATTTCAAGATGGGAATGGTGTGCATGTCTGAAGTTTCATCTACTTGGGAGGTTGTGACTGGAGGATTGCTTGAGTCTAGGATTCAAGTCCAGCCTGGGCAGTATAGTGAGACCCTCCCCCCAGCCCGTCTCTAAAAATAATAACAGTAATAACATTAATAATAATAATTATTATTTTTATGGCTCAGTAATTGCCAGACTTTTTCTTTTTTTCCTCTCCACTTCACTAAGAGAAGTTTACTACCAGGCAAGGGTTGTTGGTCATGGTGGTGTTTATCCCATTAAGGGCAGTATACAGTTTGAAAAGCTTCCCAGTGAGAGTTGCTAGTTGTTTGGTACTGTGAAAAACACCTAGTTTAGGAAACAAAATGACCTTTATTTTTATTATCATTATTATTAAGGTGTTTCTGTTTTCTTATTTTTGTTTTATTCTAACTAGTCAAAGCTAATTGAACTTTTAAAATTGTATTCACTTGTTGCCTAATTGAAACACAATCTAAAAACATTTAAAAGCAGATTTAATTATTAAACTTAATCATTTTTTGAATATATATATTTAGTTTTCTAAGAATGACAATTTTGCAAGTAAGCCAAATTATCTGTTTTTCATTTAGAGCTGTGTAATAACAAAAAATTGTATACATTTCTGGTTTTCTTTAGTATTCTTTTTTCCTGAAAAGGTTCATGTTTCTTTGTGACTAGCTTTCTTTCTTTTTTTTTGGTTTCATGTCAGACATCAGTAATGTGCTAATCTTGTAATAAAGTTTGAGGGAGACACATCTCACACATGAGCATGAACAACCAATCATAAACCACACTTATGAACTACAAAAGGATCTGACTAGCTTTCTTTCTAGAAACCTCTGGCAGACTGTGGAATTATTTTATCCTGGGGTCATTGTTTTCTCCTCTAATACATGTGAACCCATAGGTTTGCTAATGTTGTATTAAGTGTCCAGGTATCCATCCTTGATGTCTATACAAAGCTCCTTGATATGTCTCTGGCCCTGTGTGGATGCCAACAACAAAACTTGTCTTTATGCTTATTTCCAGGGCAGCTAGAGTGCTACCCTGGGGTTTGGGAATATAAGGAAGGGATTAATTGCAGCTTTTGGAACTGATTTGCACTTATGCTGTTAGGTAAATAAATCTGGTTGGTACCAGGTTAGTGGCTTAGCCTACTAAGTATCACTATTATCAGTTTCATGCCTTTGGGTAATGGACCACTTCCCAAAGTCCTTGAATCTGAGTTAGGTGTTCCTCCTTTATACTCTCATAGGAACCCTCCCCTTATATCATACCCTGTACCCCAGTATTTATTTCTGTTTACCTGTAATCAGAGGATTGGATGAAGTTCTGACCAGGTAAATCTTTGGAATATCTGGCTGACAAGGAGTAAATCTAAATGATACCTCTTCTTTTTTTTTTTTTTTTTTTAAAGAGATTATCATTCAGGTCCTGGTGATCTAAGGCCAAACGAACAAACACACACACACTTGCTCTGACTGAATACTGTTATTAAAAGTAAATATGGAAAATGAACCAGTCCATGAAAATGTGGAACAGAGCCTTTGTGCCAAGACTACTGAAGAAGAACTGAATAAGTCTTTCAATTTAGAAGCTTCACTTTCAAAATTTTCTTATATAGATCTGGACAAGGAACTGGAGTTCAAAAATGATCTGGTAAAAATTTCAACTTTTTTAAGTGATGATGTTCAACTGATGTTGGTTAGAATGTGCTCTGTGTCTCAAAAACCCTATCATTTTTGCAGCGATTTATAGGAGTCTGTGTACAGTTCTATGAGATAATATCTTTCTTTGTCTAGTTTGTGAAATGCTTTGATTCATATTGTCATTTGAGCTTCATGGCTTTCCACAACACTGATAATCCATAGCATAGATGAAGACACTGGTGTGCAGCTCTGTTAAATGACTTCTCAAGGTCACAGAGCTAGTGGTAGGTTTAGAATTCCTGCCTCATACAGTAATGCCCCCCCAGTAATTATTTAACATTATATTAGTAGATTTCTTTAGCTATGAGAATATTTAATAAGTTTCTTGACCTAATCATCTCTCACTGTAATTTATGAAATAACTAAGGAATCTGATGTCAGATTTTTGCTTATTGCTTATGACTTATGTCTAAGCTTAGAAAATTAGGGATTGAGATATGTTGTTTTGTTATGTTCAGAAAAGTAGATGTTTGTGACCCGCCTGGGCAACTTGGCCAGACTTCATCTCTACAATAAATCAAAAATTAGCCGGGTGTGGTAGCACGCGCCTGTAGTTCCAGCTACTTGGAAGGCCTGAGGTGGAAGGATCGCCGGAGCCCAGCAAGTCGAGGCTGCGGTGGCCGGGAGCGGCCACTGCACTCCGGCCTGGGCGACAGAGTGAGACTCCGACTCAAAAAAAAAAAAAGAAAGAAAAGGAGATGTAAAAGTCAACAGAAGTTTTCTGGAAAGGGGTGTCAGGATGGTACAGTCAGTGTATATATGTTCCTGATAGTCACTGAATGTGTGAATAGGAAAGGAAATCATTCTGTAGTCTTTTGACCTAACCCTTAGTACCATTTTGAGCTGACTGTATAGTCAGTTTGATGATAAGTTTGTCTATTAACTGATGATAGCTCTAATCAATTAAGACAGCCTAACAATTAAAAGGGAACAGCATCATGTGAGGATTAATTTTTTTTTCTTTATTTAGATTGATGACAAGGAGTTTGATATTCCTCAGGTTGATACTCCTCCAACACTGGAAAGCATACTAAATGAGGTAAGTACATATTAATGATCACTATCATTTTGTGGCATTGATTTTAATACTTTTGGATTAGTTATTGTGTATATATCTAGATGTGCACTATCCAGTATGGTAGCCACTAGTTGTGTGTTGATTTAAAATTTAAATTAATTATAGTGAAATAAAAAACCAATTCCTCAGTGGCATACAACACATTTCAGGTGCTTAATAGCCACAAGTGGCTAGTGGCAGATATAGTAGACAGCATGGATAAAGAGTGTTTCCATCGGGATCAGGGGAAAAAATAAAAAGAGTGTTTCCATCATTACAGAAAGTTCTTTTGGAGAGCTCGGATTTTTTTTTTTTTTTTGAGTTAGGTTCTCACTCTGTCGCCCAGACTGGAGTGCAGTAACATGTTCCCGGCCACCGCAGCCTCAACATGCTGGGCTCAAGCTATCCTCCCGCCTCAGCCTTTCAAGTTGCTGGAATTACAGGCGTGTCCTACCACGCCCAGCTAATTTTTTATTTATTGTATAGATGAGGTCTCACCAAGTTGCCTGGGCGGGGCTCGAACCCGCGGGCTCAGGCAGTCCACTTGCCTCGGCCTGCCAAAGTGCTGGGATTACAGGCTGAGCCACTGGACCCTGCCTGAGCTCGGATCTTGATTGTGAGCTTCTCCAGGGCAGAAATTATGTCTTGTTCATCTTTAGGGTATCTGTGCTCAGCACAATGCCTAATACTTGGTAGACTTAAAAAATATATCTCACTCTGTCTCCTGGGCTGAAATGCGGTGTCACTGCAGCCTCTAACTCCTGTGCTCAAGTGATCCTTCTGCTTCAGTCTCCCAAGTAGCGGACTATAGGCACGTGCCACTACACCTGACTAATTTTTTTTACTTTTTTTGTAGAGACAAGATTTTGCTATGTTGCCTAGGCTGGTCTCAAACTGGGCTTATGCAGTCCTCCTGCCTTGGCCTCCCAAAGTGCTGGGATTACAGGCGTGAGCCACCATGCCCAGTCTTTAAAAAATATTATTAAGTGAATTGAAACACTAAACTTAATGTTACTTTTTAGATGTGTATTTTTTGTGTGTTGTTAATGATTAATTATTACTACCAATGATATTCAAGTAGCTCGTCCTCTGATACTGAAGAGCATTTGCAACCTTACAATGAGCGTCATCATTCTTCTACATGAAGAAAACCAAACTTTTCTACTTCATCTTATGAATACCACTCTATGAAAAAGTTTTTCAGCATTTTGAAGTAGTGTTATTCTTTTCTGAATTGAGAGACCAAAGTCTTTATAAAGAAACTTTGTGGGAGTGCATGGTTGGTGAAGTGTGCTCATTTTTATGTCCCTGCATCTGCTGACAACTCTTCAACTCAGTCTTCCTGATCTTTTAAAATCTTGCTTATGACTGCCCATGGAGGTTTTAGCTTCTAATTTGAGAAGGACTTTTTAATGTATAAATCTATTTCAGATCCATAGTTATATTTTCCAAAAGATAAGAATGCAAAGGTTCCCCAACAGAAAGGCCCATGATACCAAAACTCTGAGTGAGTTGGACCTCTGTCTTTATTCCTTCTTTACCTATGCTTTTAGGGTTATAGGCAACACTTTATAGGATGCAAACTATTTTCTCTATGTATTGTATCTTTTATTTTTCTTGTATGGCTTTGATTTCTATTTTTTATGTCAGTTTGATGTTGCTGTAACTTTGAATGTGTTTCTTCAGAAATGTACTGTATGTTCTATGTTGACTTGAGCATTTTTAGTTTTGACAAAGTGGCTTTGGTCTTGAAAGTATATCCCGTACAGTGAAATGTCCTTTATTTCTAGTATAGAGGAAGTATATAGAGGAAATATTTCACTCAGAGATGAGGAGATTAAACTTGGTCAGTTTTGTAAAAATGGTCTTAATCATTTTAATTATTTTGCTAAATGTAAGATAAAAATAATCTTAGAGGACTGTTTATAAAGCCCTGCTTGTACATCTTTATATAGTATTGGCAAAGAAAATAGTGCTCATATGAATGATCTGTAGTACATAAAGGAAAATTATCCTAGCACAACTATCCTTCTTATCTACAAGTAACAGTGAGTACAGTCATTAGTGGTTTATTGAGAAGATAATACTGTTATCATTCTCAATAGTAATTTGGGTGCCTAGTGTATTTGGGTCCTGGTGTTTTAGATGTTAGGGTTATAAAATGCTATATGACTGTCTCTGTGCTTGAGAGAGAAATGAGGCTGGAAATTGGCTAGCCTTTATACCTCCAGGGAGCTAAGCAGGTAGTAAGTGAAGGAAATAATGTAAGTTGTGCACTGTCATGAAGACTATAAGTGGGATGTGGGGAGTATAAAATGGTTTAAGATTGGGCATGGTGGCTCATGTCTGTAATCCTAGTACTTTGGGAGGACATGGTGAGAGGACTGCCTGAGCCCAGGAGTTTGAGACCAGCTTGGGCAACATGGCAAGACCTCATCTCTACAATAAGAAAAAAAAGATAGCCAGGAGTACGTGTAGTCCCAGCTACTTAAAAGGCTGAGGTGGAAGGATTGCCTGAGCCTAGGAGAGTGAGGCTGTGGTAGCTGTAGCACTCCAGGCTGGGCAACAAAGTGAGAGTCCAATACAAAAAAGTAAAAATAAAAAAGATTTAAGAAGAAAGGACAGAAATAGAAAGTGTAAATAAAGCCCTTGTTCCAGGGTATGTAGATGCACATATTCTATAGTTCATTAATATCACTCTGAAGAGTTCATTTCTTCCTGAAGAAATGGACATCTCAGATATTTTCTTAAAAAAGGAAATTTAGAGATTACAGAGACATCCTAGATCTCAGAATTTAGGGCATGAAATAATGTTAGTAGGTTTTGTCATCCTTTGAAGCTACCTGTGAGGTTTTTAATTTTGAAATTTCATTCTCTAATCTAAACTTTTTCCCCTTATTTCCTTACTTCCATTAAACTTGTTATTTGACCTCATTAAGACCGAGTCTCTTGACCCTTTCTAGTATCCCAGTAGTAACCTCAGTCCTACTTTTGGATTGTGTAGCCAGAAGTTTCTTTTGAACTTTTTATGGAAGTATAACATATATACAGAAAGGTACACAAATCATAAGTATAGACATGGTGAATGCTCACAAACTGAACAGCCTGTATAACTAGAATTCAGATAAGGAAGCAAACATTACTAGCTCTCCAGAAGCTCCTCTTGCACCCGTCAGTACCCAACAGCAGGGCAATTACTGCTTTAACTTCTACCAGCATTGATTAATTTGCCTGCTTTGAACTTTATATAAATTATACAGTATGTACTCTTATGTGTCTTACTTCCCTCAGCATTATGTTTTTAAATTTACTCTTATTTTTGTGTGTAAAGAATTACTCATCTGTTCCCATTGCTGTGTAAAATTCTTTATGAATATACTATTATTTATTCATTCTACTGTTGATAGACGTTTGTATAGTTTCCAATTTCTGGCTACTGTGAAGAGTGCTGCTGCGAATTTTCTTATTCATGTGTTCTTACTCACATTTCTGTTGGGCATATACCTACAAGTGGAATTAGTGGGTCATCAGGTATAGTTGTATTCAGCTTTAGCATATACTACCACAGTTTAGTTTTTACTACCACAGTTTTTCTTTTTTTTTTTGAGTTGGAGCCTCACTCTGACGCCCAGACTGGAGTGCAGTGGCCGCTCCCGGCCACTGCAGCCTTGATCTGCTGGGCTCCAGCCATCCTTTTGCTTCAGCCATCCAAGTAGCTGGAACTACAGGTGCGTGCTACCACACCTGGCTAATTTTTTTGATTTATTGTAGAGATGCGGTCTCACCAAGTTGCCCAGGCGGGTCTCCAACCTGCAGGCTCACGCAATTCACTCACTTCAGCCTCCCAAGGCGTGGGATTACAGGCTGAGCCACCGAGCCCGGCTTGACTACTACAGTTTTTCAAAGTAGTTTTATCAATATATGTTTCCAGCATCAATATATTAGGTTTCTGATGACTACTATGTCCTTGTCGACTTTTGATTTTGTTTTTGTTTTTTTAACTTTGGCCTTTCATTCTTACAGGTGTGTAGTTGTATCACATCATGGTTTCAATTTGATTTTGCCTGAAGACTGATAAATCTCAATACCTTGATATACTTTTTGGCCATTTGGATATCTTTTCTGTGAATTACCTTTTTATATCTTTAGCCTACTTAATTCTGCTGGGTTTTTTTTTAAGTGATTTGTTGGAGTTCCTTATATATGCTAATATATGAGCCCTTTATTAGATGTAAGTATTTCTTTTTTTTTTTGAGTTGGAGTCTCACTCTGTCACCCAGGCTGGAAGGCAGTGGCACACTCCCGGCCAGCCACCACAACCTCCATCTGCTGGGCTCCGGCGATCCTTCCGCCTCAGCCTTCCTAGTAGCTAGAACTATAGGTATGCTACCATGCCTGGCCAATTTTTGATTTATTTTAGAGATGAGGTCGCACCAAGGTTACCTGGGTGGGTCTCAAACCCATGGCCTCAGGCAATCCTCTCGACTCATCCTCCCAAAGTGCTGGGATTACAGGCTGAGCCACGGAACCTGGCCAGGAAAACTTTTAATGGATAAAAAGTAACACCAACAAGGATCCAGACAACAATAATAATGGCTACTATGCATTGGTTAGTTACTTCATGACAAAGATTGTGCAAAATACTTTGTGAAAAAAATGTATTTAATCTTCACAACAAATCTAGGCAGTAGAGACTATTATTACCTATCATTTTATACGTGAAGTAACTTGCCCAAGTTCATACAGATAGTGAAAGGCCAAGTAGGCACTTAAATCCAGTCCTGTAA